AGGCGAAATAAGAGAGATATCGTCGTAATTTAAAAAAAAAAGTCCTTGCATTTGCGCAATACGCCATGAGGGCGTATGTGGATGAGGAAGTGTAGTCCCACACGTAATTAAACTCATCACTTGAGTATGTCAGGCTTCTACGGTCAAGGAGCAATTTCGTTTAAACGAAACAATTCCTGCACTGGGTATAAAAATTTTTGAACTGGACATCTACAGTAGCTTCTCAGCTGCTAGTAACCTTCTGTTGTGTGTTGTCTGAACTTTTTAAATCTGTTTTAAATCTAATCGTATATCTGAATGAATGTGCCTCCATTCGATGTCTTTGAAAATTGTGTAACATGCGAAATATGCCATAATTTTACACCAATGCTCACGCCGATGCCATTGCTTTACTTCAAGTGGCGCAATAAGTATGAATCGGAAACATGATTTCTCCTACAAATTCTCCTTAGTTTGCTACATTCAATACAGCGAGAATTTGGTGCGAAAGCAAGAAGGAAAGATATCACTAGAAAGACCAAGAGTGGATAATATTAAAGTGAATCTCGGAGAGATAGGATGGATCGTATGGAATGGATTGATCTGGCTCAGGATATTGTTCAGTTGATATCCTAATGAACACGGCAACGAATCTTCAGTTTCCATAAATTGTTAGGAATTCATTGAATAACTGCTCAACTGACATATTCTCAGTAAGGGCTTAGCTCCATGAAGTTATTATATGGACAATTAAAGAGGGATAGTTCACGTTTAAGAAGAATCAAAATTATATAATATCCTTATGAAAATCTAGATAATTATGTAGCTTAAACTTAATATAGTTACATATTATCATATATAATTATGTTGTGACAGTTTTAATAAAGAAAACGTAGCTTAAACTTGTTTACGTTCGAATATTAAATATGAAACGTAAGGAAAGAGACAGGGCCCGAATTTCTACAGGAACTCAGAATATATAACGTTGAATGAGAGGGTTTTTAGTGAATAATGGATTGGAACCGAGGAAAATGGAGCCAGTCACATCCTAAATTGAATTAATACACGGGTATTTGCCCAGAGAGAACAAGGAAAATCAGAAATTACCTCAGTCAAGTTAATACTGGTTCTGAAAGATATTCCATCCCAATCTGAAAGTATATTCTAATTATTTAAGGTAAATTTTCAATCCTGACAAGAGATAATATTACTTACAAGACGCCCCATCAACTTCAGGAATTTCATTCATCAGTAATATGTCAGCCGTCAGTCTCTTCCAAAACAGTTCCTCCAACTTCAGGAAATGGCGTATTAAAAAATCATGTTAATCAGAATCACAATAAGTTAACAAACACATCTTCACTATTAATACCTTGAAGTATTAGTAGGCTAAACATGAGGAGAGTCATAGTACACTTTCAAGTGAGGCAAGCCTATGTTGCCTACACACTCATAAAATTTATCTGACTCAACCAGTTGATTGTGTTTGTCATCTAATCATGAAAGACGATTATAAAAGATAAAACAAATCCGTTGAGTATGACTGTTGAATATTTTATTACTTCAATTCTTAACGCCCTTACAAGTTTCAGTCCTTATAGACACGAAAAAACACAGGACGATATCAAAGAACCTTCTTCTCAAGAAAGACAGGCGGCAGAAGTTCAGCCCCCGTTCAGAAAGGCAATAAGACGAAAGATATGAACCTATTTAGTTTATAAATACAACATAAATAAAAAAGTTTTAAAAATTTTAATATATCAAGACAGACAAACATTCTGTGTGTATATATTTTAAAATTCAGAATACCCATTGTAATGGTGGTTTCCAAACTGTATTGATGTCCCCCTGATGATGGACTATAAGGACAGAAACATGTGAGGGCGTTAAGAATTGAAGTAATAAAAACTTCAACAGTCACACTCGACGGAGCTGTTTTATCTTTTATAATATTGTTAGTGTGACGGACCAGAACGACACAAATCAAAATTATGACAGAGGAATTTATAATATTTTACAGGTATTTCACTTTAATAACAAAAACCCTGTCACTGCTAACGTAATTTTCTTTTGGAAGGTATTACAACTGCCACTCTTAAATTATTTAATCTAACATTTATAGTTCCACTTATTTACCAGCTTGTCTAATCTTTTACATTAATTCGTGTGGTTATATTCCTGTAGGTGTGACTTGAAGTTAACATGGGGCTCCTACCTGAAACCGCTCTTCTGGCCGTAGGTGCTGTGGTAGCCTTTCTTCTCACATTGGTATATATCTACTTCAAGAAGTCCTTCAGTTATTGGAAGAAAAGAAAGGTACCTTACATCGAACCAACATTCCCCTTTGGAAATTTCAGAAACCTGATATTTGTGAGAAAACCTATAGGACATATGTTCCTAGATCTTTACAAGAAGCTAGACGGTGAGAAATATGGAGGGACATACATGTTCACGAAACCTGGATTCATTTTCCGTGACCCAGAGATTATTAAGAATGTCCTGGTTAAAGACTTCAGTAGTTTCCATGATCGCGGCTTCTTCACGGATGAACAGTTTGAACCACTTACTGGTCACTTGTTCCTTCTTCCTGGAAACAGATGGAGAAATCTTCGCGTTAAACTGACACCAACTTTCACTTCCGGTAAAATGAAGATGATGTTTCAAACTTTGGTCGATTGTGGGCAAGAACTCGGAACCATCCTACAAGAAACCGCTAGTCGGGAGGGGATTATTGAAGTCAAAGATATCTTGGCTAGGTACACCACAGACATAATATCGTCATGTGCATTTGGCATCCAATGTCATTGTCTTGAGAACCCAGACGCTGAATTTCGTCAATGGGGAAGGAAATTATTCCAATCAACGATAAGAGCGTCATTAATTAGAACTCTGGGCGCACTACTTCCCTCTATGGTGAGCTTCTTGAAGCTCAGAGGTATAGATCCCAAAGTTTCAGAATATTTCCGAAGTATGGTGCAAGACACAGTGAACTACAGGGAGAAGAACAACATTAAACGCAACGACTTTATGCAACTGCTTATCCAGATCAAGAATCGTGGCAAAGTGGAGGAAGAACACGGTTACCTGGAGCAGAATGGCCATGGAGACTTGGAGAACAAGTCTGAAGAGAATGGTATGTACCTCCTGTATACGTTCCGTGTAAATAAATACATTCATTCTTGTACTGTATGGATGAGCTGGAACTGAGCATTGGTTTTCTCAACGAAAGCACTCCACACATCTCTGGGTAACGTATTCTGAATACACGTAGTTACATTATTCCCTTGTGCCACAACCTTCGGTACACCGCCATATGTATGTATGTATGTATGTATATGTATTTCCAATTCCTGTCATTCTTCGGGTATTCAATGGATAATTNATATAAACCAAATACGATTAACAACTACAACAATTACAGAGAAATACAAACAACTGCAACAAATACAACAACAAGGACATCCTACCACAACGAATACAAACCAAATACGATTAACAACTACAACAATTACAGAGAAATGCAAGAAAAAAATACAACACCCAAAACACAAACAAAAGAAAACCAACAGTCATGGATGCGTAATGTCATTTACTTCAATTCACTTCACTTCACTGCAATTTTTTTCTTTTTAATTGTTTCCACCTCAACTTAATATTAATAACGAAAGAAAATATGTGGGAATCGCATATAGCATTTTTCTTCTGCTTATGTTAGGAATATAATATGCCTTTACAAAGCCATACAAAATTGGCTTCAATCAGTAATGGTAGTGATAGCTTCATTCTACGACAAAGTACTTCTGTCTACCAGAACACAAATTTCCGTTAAAGCTGTATCTTGCTACTTTTGATGTTGACCCAATTGAAGAATTGTAGACAATAAATCATGTGTATTCTTGCAATAACTTTATTTTTCTCTCTTCATGAAAATTTTGCTGAAGAATTTAAACCTTAAACGGAGAACGGTAAATTGTAATTTTCACGTAGCTTAAATCTGGAACTTGATATTTCTCACAGTGAATGATGTGTTAAATTAATCTGTTATCAGAATAGACAACGATATATTTCCTGCACGGCATAAACACTGTTACCTGCATTAGAGATATATCGATATTTTCTGTGACGCAATATTCGTCATTCATATGTATTTTGAGTATTCATAATGTGTATGCATTAACAGTCTTCAAGTGCATACAATCCCATTTACCACTTCTACACTATATGTTTCGGCAGTATGCTGCCATCTTCAGGTGTATCGATCCGTCAACCATTTCACTGCTTGCCTTTATATGTCCCTTTACAAATAATATTAAATTTGTATACGTCCTTATATCATAATAAAGTTTATGTATTTAAAACTTGTTAAAACCTATTATCTCATACGTCTTATTTTAAATTCATGTGTGTTATTGATCATTGTATCCAACGATACAACGCACGCAGTCACAAGAGTAGAATACATCATAAGACATAATATACACACACATTAGAAACATAAGAAGAACGACCCCCCCCCATGTGGATGATCAATAACAGACACGAATTTAAATTATGGCGTTTGAGATAACAGGTTTTAACAAGTTTTAAGTACATAAACTTTATTATGATATAAGGACGTATACGAATTTAATATTATTTGTAAATGGACATATAAAGTCAAGCAGTGAAATAGTTGACGGATCGATACACCTGAAGATGGCAGCATACTGACGAAACATGTAGTGCAGAAGTGGTAAATGTGATTGTATGCACTAAAAGACTGTTAATACATACACATTATGGATATGAATCAGTGCAACAGGACGCTAAAATACAACATAGTATTTTGACCAATTTCCCACTTGGTAACTCGCATAATCTGAAATGTGCCCTATGATACTTTGGCCTAATAATAGTGAAACTAGGATCAAGCATTTAGCCGTTTGTGTTGTAGGCTTGTCGATGAACTCACTGGCGGCCCAGGCCTTCGTTTTCTTTCTTGGGGGTTTCGAGACTTCGTCAACCACCATGACTTTCTGTATGTACGAGCTATCATTGCACCAGGATATACAGGAACGTCTCCGGGAAGAGATCGATGCTGTGCTGAAGAAACATGAAGGCAAGATTACTTATGAAGCCATCCAAGAAATGGAGTACTTGGATAAAGTTGTCGCAGGTAAGGCTTGCCCGTGGAAGAAAGTTTAAATAATACAAAATGGATGTAATTCGCAATATCGCCATAAAACTCCAGCGTTTTATCAACATCCACATACATACGAGTATCTTCGGGTCCCAAGTTTAACATGCTTTATGTAGTAAGAAAGTAAATAAGGGAAATTAGAAGCCCCCCTTTCTCTCACCTTCTTTCACGAGGTCATCCAAATGGCTACCAAGTTGTGAGACAGAAAGCTCAGCCCTAGTGAAGCAGAGATTCGCAAGCCCTCTTAATTTCCGATTTATTGAATGTATAATGGGTGGGCCTTCTTCGCTCTTGCACCGCGACCACAGTGATCTATTGTGCCTGATGTATTACTTCACTTCATATTTCTTGAATTCTGCTTTACAGTTTCTCTGTAGTATCGACTGTAGTTTCATAACCCTTGCATTTCTAGTAACTCCACATGTAATCCTGTGCAAGGCATTGCGCATACACGTACTCTGTCATATACGCCTGGCCTCGACTGGGTTATCATGGACACGAAGTCACTTGCTGCTCAATAGACAGATCTCTAACTCCATTATCATTACTGATTTCATGCAAGGTCTCATTCTCAATCTTGGGTTTGAAAATGTCTTTCCTCCCTATTTTAACATTGAAAATTCCTAACATTTTCATAGGGTATTTCAGGAATTTATCAAATACATTTTCTAGCTCTTCATAGAATCTATGCTTTATGTGACACAATTTTATCTTCTGTTCGGGCGTGAACATTCATAACATTTTAATATTATATATGATATATCATCACTAACGAACTCTACCCTCTTAACTGCTGATACGATTCTCTTATGTACAAAAAAAAAACACTGTTCATAATTCATGATTTTCATTCCCCTTTCCATAGAAAAATGTATAGTCTCCTGCTGGTTCGATGCCACCTCCATCCCATCTGACCTCCTGTACGCCCCATAAATCTAACTTATATTTTAAGATTTCTTCTGCAACTGCCCTGAGCGAACCTGCCCTAAACATACTTCGTACATTCCAAGTGCCAAATCTCATATCCTTCACATTCATTGTATATATAATAGGTTTAGACTCGAGAGGATTGCAGGCCAGGAATCTGGAGCTTCTCAGGAACATTTTACGATATCGATGGGACACTGGAAGTACACATTCTTTTCATAATGGAAGGACTAATCGTCGGAGTCGCTGAGAGAGTCTATCATCAGTACCAAACGTCTTGAAGCTCATTCATAATCCACGGATGCTTCTGTACACCGCACATCTCTAGAACGTTGGTTCCATCCTCTCACATTCAGGCTATGCAAGAGTTAGCACCACAGGATCAACATTCCAGACAAACATTCTCTCAATGATTACGCAACAGTCTGTCGAAAACTCTGCATCTAAAGAAAAGGTCACAGATGAATATTCTTCACTATAACTGGAATCACAAGTAATCACAAATAATATTTAAGGTCACATGAAAAACCAACGTGATTCAATGTCACTCTCAGTAACGACGACTCGAATTTTAGAAGAGTTCTAATTTGTGGGATATAACGCCGTATAGTCCGCTGAAATTAAACCGACAATTCAGAATAACATATGGCGTCCATCTTGCCGACTACCACAACTTCAGGAATTCCAACTACACGGCAAGAAGAGAAAATATTCCCCCAATTCCCATTATATCACAAATTAACCACTTAATATTACGAAAGATCTTAAACAAGCAATCATTATAGTTATTTTAACAAATTACATACATCAAGCCATTTGATTCCACTTCTCATCGGAACAGCGTTACAAATAAGGACTCATCTACTTCAAATTCAACAACATGCAATATTATACCAATCAAACAGTAGAAAATAAGAAACAAAATCCTGTAAATCATGTACGATAAGACAGCATAGACGAACAATATACAACGAAAATCTGCATCAGAGCAACTCGATGTTCTTGCCTGTGTGTGCCATTATTTACTCAGTGCAATAAAGCTCAAGTAATATAATGGACCTCATACGCCTCATCCACATCACTGAGTGGCCCATTCCAGTGTCACAGATGTCAAAACTTGTCATAAGACTCAGATTTTTAACCTGCCCTCATAATGTCAAATGCTGAGGAAACTATTTCTCCAGTGAACGCTGAAAACCCAAATAATACCAGCACCCAACCCTAAAATGTGCAAACTGACACTAACAACAGCCGAGCAATTACACAGGATATGAAGCATGTGCAAAGTATATACAGAAATCACAATACCTCCTGAAAAACATTCAAATATAAACAAACGAAATGCCCGTTGCCTCATATAAAAAACTTCCCCATTCTCCCATAGCCTTCCTCAGCTAGTACTTTAGCTAGTATAACCCAAGTAAACTAAGTCAGGCTACCTTACACTGTAGGAAAATCGATCAACTTCCCCAGACACAAACCAAAGCAAGGCCGAATCTTTCCTTCTGAGTTCATCAAAAGTAAACTTCAGCTTCCAGTGTTGCAACGTCAGATTTCTACATTAGCTAACAAATTTAGTGCAATTATTACGACGAGCCAAATCTATTGTCGGCAAAATTGTCATAATTTTTTAATTTATAGCTACCTGTACGTTCAATGATATCACACAGGAAGATGCTTGATCATACCATGAGCTCATCCTCATTCAGCAGGGCGAAACTACCAAAATCGATCAACACCCATCAAACCACCCTATACAGACCGATAAATATTATGTTCTGGATTGCAAATTCAGTGCTCAACGATCAATATCTCTTGCCCGAGTTCCTTGCAGAGCATAACATTCACATAGCACACATGAAACAAAATAATTTCCAACTTAACAGGAAATTAATTATACCGGGTTATACAAGTATCGAACAGGACATGGACCACCACATGGCGGAACAGCCTTAGAAGTGAAATCGTCAATTCAACAAACAAAGCAAACTCACCTCACTTTACAGCTTTTGAAGTCGCAGCAGTAAAATCCCAACCAGGACAGAGAGACGCACAATCGGCGTCAGGTACGTCCCACACATCCGACCAAATCTGATCCAAAGATCTCACGACACTGACACAACACAATCAACTACTTTATACACACTCTTTCAAAATGTTGCACCCCAATTTATATTGCCCTATATCTGCGACCACGAATCGCCCATGAATGAAACTCTTTGCCACTTGAACGTTTGGGGATAGAGTTTCAAATGATTACCGACAGATGCCTCTCCCCACGCACAAACAGTCCCTGGCAGCCATAACGGCCATAACAGCCCAAGTTGTACCCATTTACATTGAGTCCGTAGAAACCTTAAATTCCGATCACAAGCCAGTTACACTCGTCATGGGTCTTGAACCAAATGAAACTGCCCTATGAAGGATGGACCCCTCTGCAGTTATCTTGGCCTGCTGCAGGCATTTGCTGAAACATGCGATACCAGGAAACATGACTATGACGTCAGTCGAAGAAATAGACGCTGCAATAACTATATTCACATCAGCAATGAAGTCAACGAAAACTCCTCACATCCATAATATACATATCCGCGTAGAGATTATGCCATTCCAGAACTAGGGGAACAATTGAGAAGAAAAAGACATGCAAGAAAACATGCACAATTTAACTGAGCAACTGATCACAGGCAATACAGCTTCTTAAAAACTGCATATACCGTCGCTTCAAACACAGCAGGATTCAAAGATTTGAGAAAGATATTGAAAATGCAAGTACGACAAACCTTACAGTAATATATGGCAGAAAGGGACTCTCCTACACAACACTGGAATATCTGACTCCACACTCATTCTTCTGGCATCATGCCTTACCGATCACAAATTTAGGGTCAAAATGGGGAAGAAAAATCTTCCCCCGTTTATAAACAACACATCAAACTCAGCAAATATTTACGGTGTAAATGTGTAGATCGAAATTATAATAGTTGTAATATCTCAAGGAAGGCCGTCAACGTGCATATTGATATGAAATGTCTTACTTACAGTGTTGCCCAATAGGCAGCAATATAAGACATTTAATTTTCAGCCAACTGTGTACCGTCTGGTATGAATTAGTTCCATAATTATGTTTCCGCTCCTTATCTGGAGTCCAGCAGTCCGGTCTGTGAAATAATGTTGATGTATTACACTCTTTATAAATGTTCTGTGTGTTCGTACTTTGAAACATAAGAAAACAGGAAAAAATACTTATACATGCAACAGAGCAATATATTTATCGAAGATTAACAATTCTTTCAGAAATGCAGAAATTACTTTCTTAAGGTGGTAAGGACTTAGTTATCTTAGGAATTTGCATAAAATATTTCTTTGGTTATTCTTCCCAGAAACTCTTCGGAAATACCCACCTCTTCCGATGTTAAACCGTGAATGTACCAAAGCCTACAAAATACCTGACACGGACATTGTTCTGGAGAAGGGAATCTTGACGGTTATACCCGTCTTGGCCCTTCATCACGACCCTAAGTATTATCCTGACCCTGAGAGATTCGACCCGGAGAGATTCAGTGAAGAGGAAAAGGCAAAGAGGCACCACTACGTGTATCTGCCCTTCGGAGAGGGTCCCAGGATATGCATAGGTACGTTCAGTCTATCGAAATATTATGTTACCATTCGTATAAGGAAAGCCAGTAACTTGGAGGTTAGTGTTTCCGGCACAGTTAGATCAATAACGTGACAGTTGCATAGCATGCACTTCATATTGATTTGGTGTTTTCATTGAATTGTGTTCTGCTTTCCTGAGCGAGAGGCACAGTACACTCGAGAAATTAATATAATCGTGAGCTTCGTAATTTAAGCTCTTCATTAAATATTGTCAGGATAATTAATACTGGAATAATGAGATGAGCAAGATTACAGTATTAAAGCTAAATGTAGGGAAATTTACACAGAAACCTGAAATATAGTAAGAGACCTATACAAATCTGGGTGCATAATTCTGATGATTCTTAAATAAATAATGCACAACGATGACGACTGGAATGAGATCCCAGTGACAGGCGACTGTGAAAACGCCAACGAAACTTTCAAGTTCCGTAATTTCATTAGCAAATTAATTACTGCTGGCCCCTCAGGGAGGATACTGTTGCGTCCAGTAAGTTTTTCAGGACCTCCAGACGCCAGGTAATACCGTCGTTTCTCGGTTATGTATTACCTTCTAATATGAGCAATGCTCTTGCTTGTTAGTTAATTACGTTTACCCGCCATGACAAAATGCCTACTTTCGTTGCACAAAGTTACATATAATTAACGGTTATGAATTTTATATATTTAACAAATTATAACCTTCATTCTTAGCGCCACAACCCAATAAAATTTATGGCTCCATGTAATGTTAGAACCTAGTCAGTCATACGTCAAAGTTCCCTTCTTCGGGGATTAGTTCTTCGGGAATCATATCCTTTGATGGAAAGGTACGAAGTGCAGAAGGACGTGAGAATTTCGTTGATGCTCCCGTCTGGACTCCTGATTGTAATCATAGCTGAAGAGCTTATTCAAACTACGGAGCGGCACTCATTTCTTACGGAACTCTAATTTTCTTTTCCAGGAATGCGGTTCGGTCTGATGCAAACCAAAGTGGGACTTGTCTCTCTTCTGTCCAAGTACCAGTTCAGTCTGAGTAAGAAAACTCCGGTTCCATTGGTTATGGATACGAAGACAATAATTTTATCACCTGTTGGTGGAATGTGGCTGCAGATTAAGCAGCGCGCTGATTATTACACTGCTATTTAATTTAGGGCACTAAATTACCATATAAACTGGTTTATTATTAACTAAAATTCTGTGTTAATTGAATTATCATTATATAAAGACATTTTGTGCTGAATTTGTTCATCGTCTGGAGCGTGATTTGGATCCTTATTCTCACATTTGTAGACGGCAACGGAAATAGTTTCCTAAATGATGTTTACTTTAATTATTCATCGGACAATGACAATGGCCAGCATACTGTTTCTCTGAAGTTGTTTCACGTTCACTCATAGTAAAAATCAGTTCTTAAATAGCCAATCAGTAATATTAAAGTGAAAAAAAAGACAGGTGCATGAAAATAGTTTAATGGTACATCGCATACTCGTATATGTAATGTACATATCTCCTTTTGAACAGAATTATGCACTATAATTTTCTCTTCAAATAAGAAAAAAAATGAAGTTATCAATTTTCTTAACAGCAACTACATGAAACCGAACAATGGAATGAAAATAACACACAAATTCATAATTTCTCTCTTATGTTCGTATATATGTCAGTGGTCACTTCTGTATTTACCTTCGGTAAAGAATGGGTAGTAAACTGGAAAGGGCCAAAACCCGTCTGTACTTCTTGGATAAGAAAAATATTCAGCCCCCACTTAATTGCCTTACTGGATTAAGTACACTTTGAAGAATTTCGGAAAGGAAAACTTGAGTCTCTGGACGACTCTCCGACCTCAGGTTCACATGACATACACATAAATAATTCAAAACCTCAGCAATGTAATTGTAACCGTAACATCATGTGACAAGAACAATACCAAGTGAGGAGGAAATTCCACTCCCAATTAGTAGCTAAGAGCTTTAAGTACCTTATTAATTCCAGATTTCATATGCTGTTTTGTTGTGTATTCTGTAGTTGAGTCTCCTATATACACATGAATTAGTCAGTCAGTCAATTTGCTTATAACTCCAGCTGTTGCACACTGTTAGTGCAAGATTGTGTTCTCCCTGTTACTTCCATTTACTTTCTTGGTTTACGTAATTTGTTTCTATTGTAGGAAGCACTAGATTATCACTTCCGTATTCTTTCAATAAACTTGTATCTAAAAGTACGTGGATATAATTATAGCTACCACATTAATTCAGCGTAATTACATTTAGTACCCTGAACCTAAAGCATTTATATGCAGCTGATTCCTACAAGTTCCTCAAGTATCCAGTATGCATCGTATCTGCGGCCTTATGGTTCGTATCTCAGTTTGTTGTTTTATATTAAACTTGTTGTTTCTCGGTCTGTGTGTTTCTGACCAATTCCTTCCATACTCAGAAGTCTGCATTATAAAATCTTGAATGTCTTCAATTTTTATTCGTGTTTGTTTATACTAGAATTCAGCATTGCTATCCAGAAAGGTCGACATATAGCTGTAAATGCTAACAGTTTAAATGCAGCATTCGCATTCATATCCTGGCCAGGAGAGTTCCGGTATTAAATAAAATGCTCCATGACTATTCTCGTTATCCCGGTAAGTTACCTGGTAATACCTGATAGTTGACCAATAATACTTCTTTTAATTCCTTTAATTCTCGAGCATTTCTTTCAACGGTTAGCAGAAGAAGAAAGACTCTATGTTTGGTCTCAGCAAGACTCAGTTACTGACCTCACTGCACGTGTGTCGATGCAGGCTTCATCCGATGCTACCGGGAGAGAATTAACAGCAGAGGTATTTCGCCAGCAAGCTGACGCGATCTTAATCCCTGTGAATTCCTCTTCGGGTGTTGTCTGAAAGAAAAACTTTATAACAGAACCCCCCCCCCCAACGGAAGAACTTAGAGAAAAATTCATAGGGAAATTGCAAACATTCCTGCAGGAGAACTTCAAAGTGTAAATCAGAACCTCTTCCGCAGGTGCGAGGAATGTCTGCGTGTAGAGGGACAGAAATTTCAACACCTCCTGTGACTTGTGAGTAACTACTTCCGTCCAAACGTTTTCGAACAACGGGCATATTGGTTCACTGGCAAAATTTTTATGCGTCTCGCAACCCACGGTGCACCTATTGCTATTATGCGCAGTGCCGTGAGCCGGTCAATAAAAAATTAAACTCCCCGAATAATAGTCTCCTGTGTATATAGGATGTATTGTTTTAAGTTGATAAAGGCTTACGTGTATTGAGCTAGCGACTCAGTATGCGGGTACACAGTTGTTGTTATCGTGTCTGGTGGAAGTTATGAATGTCTCGTGTGTGACTGAGTGTGAAATGAGTCGCGGTTGTTAATGGTGTGGAAGTTTGTTTTGACGTTGAATACTAAATAGTGGAATTCTCAGCTGTTACGTCTATGAAGTTTTTGTAGCGTGCTGTGATGTGCCCTTGATGTAAAAAGTAGGATAATTTTCGTTCCGGTAGGGAGCAGTGTGCTTCATTTCTTCTGACGAGCGGTTCTGAGAAAGCACTGACCTTCAAACGCATGCGTCCCTCTCAGACATTCCTCGAGACTTAAGAAGCCTTATCGTGGGTGTATCACCATGCGGTGCAGAATTTACATTTTAAACACTGAAACTTGGCCTTCCACAATAAAGATAAGTTCAGTGAAATCGAGAGAGACACATTTTGAACTGGTATTTATTTGACGAAGCCTAAATTCTACAGATCCTAAAACAGAACTTTTATTGTGTACCATTGTTTAACAGGACAAACAAAGAGTAACTCAGTACTGCAATAACACGTTCAAGACAAATTTATACAGCTAAATGGATTCCAGTAGCAGCAGCAGTATTTTTACTGTTAGTACCGATATTCATGTGAAAGGTCCGCTAGCCTCTTTGTGCATGTAATTATTTTTTTAAAAAATGAATCATTTTTACATCTGCTAGACCTGTATAGGCGGTTAACTCAATCATTCCAAGAACAACATGATACAGAGCAAGAGCGGCACACATCCATACCCGGAGAGCAATTCCAGCCAGAGTTCTTAGTAGTCCAGATATCGAACACCGTATGCACCTTACCGCGAGTACTAGGATATGCGCCTTCATAAATTTAGGGAATAATTCGAATTTAAACTTAAATCACCACTTATGAATAGTATGTGTTGGTACTTTATTAATTTACGAATCTAGTTCAACTACATGCCAAACTTTATAATACCTATAGAATTAAGATCATGATTAAGGATTGATGAAAGTTGAATTCAGCTGTTTATGGTCGAATTCAACGAACAGACTTGGTATTAAACGGATGGATTCAGGACCTCAACGAAAACCTAGGGTAGTCTAGATACAAAGGGAGTACCTCTCGAATTGCAGTAGCAGTTTTATCTCTACACTAATCTGCTGGGCACGATAAGAAGGAGACACGAATATTATGAACGATATAAACATCTGGTGGTATGTTACTCGTAGCATATTTGATCACGATCGGTCAAAGCATGAAGTATTACTAAAGCTATTACCTCAACAGTATGAGAGGCTGTAGTGTTGGTATTTCTGATGTCAGGCATTTGAGAACCCCGCTGTCGCCTACTGCAGGCAGATATGGTTACAGTGTTTCGTGACGTTCCTTTCTGTCGATCACAAATTTGAGATGATACTATGTCGATATAACTGATGGGAAGAAATTATAAACTACGCGATATAAGATGACCTCAGGTTGCATAAATTACGTACCAAGTTCAATAAATAGCGCTAGAGGATTTCAAATTCTTAAGAGAGACACACACACACAGGCATGGACACACACACACAATTATTTTTCTCTCTTTCAACGACAATCAGACTGTACAATCTGTAAGTCAATGTGTTGACTGGTGTACAATTTAATAACTATTTATTGTACACTCTTCTGGCGTGTGGGGACTAAACATTTTCCTCGGTTCGTTAGATCTGATGGTCAACTTCTTTTGAGTCTTCGATTTTGCTGAGGTTGTAGTAGTGGTTAAAGTAGTGGGTTGGAGTGATTTTCTAGTTTGTTGAAGTACTTGGTGCTGTTTTCTCAGATGAATTATGTTATGTATTTTTTTTTTCATATTTTGGTAGTTCATAATGTTCAATTTTTTTCCTTGATTAGGATTGCAGTGCCTCCTTGGGCTGTGTCGTCGGGGTGGTTTGTGTGGTAAAGCTTGTATTTGGGGATACTGAAGTAGCTTCTGCCGGTGAAGTGGGTTTCGCTGATTAGCAGGATGTCGATTGAGTTTATGTTTAGAAACATTCTTATATCTTCTTGATGATTTGGAAGTCCATTGGCGTTCCATTGGGTTATTCTTAGGAACTGGCCATTTATTTCGCTTTGTTGACGAGTGTTGTTAGCATGTTTAGTACCATAGTACTTTGTTGTAATAATTGTTGAATTAAATTTTGAATTCGTCTAGGAAATTTGCTAGTATGTTGGTTGTTTCTTCTATTTGGTTAAATTTCGCTTTGTGATTTCTGCGTAGTTTCTGGGTTGGGTTATTTCTAGAGGTTGTATGTTTCTCGTGTAGGATTCATTTGTGTAGATTGCTGGAGTAGAGGGTCTTTGGGAAAAGCTTCTACTGGTACCTTTGGTTAGATTACGAAAGTGTTCGCATCCTCTGTAGTTTGCGGGGCGGTTTCCTCCGCATAGTGCGCATCTGAATGGTGTTTCCCTTGTCTTCTTCCAGTCTGTCGTATTGTGTGGGCCACCGCATTTGACGCAGACGTATGGCTTATTGCAGTATGTTTTTGTATGGCCGTATTGTTGACATCTCGTACATTGGATTATGTTTGTTTTGTTTGAGTGGGGGGGGGTTCTATTTTTACTATTCTATTTTGTAGTCCTGTTCTTTCATAGATCCTTTTGTTGCTTTGGGCTGGTTCTAGGTCTACAAAGAATAGGTTCAATGGCCCTTTAGTAGCTTTATGATGTACGTTGATTATATTTCTGATTCTGTGTCCTAGTTCAGCTAGTTCTTGTTTTATGTCTTCTATTTTTGTTGAGTGATGAAGATATCTTATTACTAATCCGTATGCTCCTTCGTCTTTCAGTATCGTTCAGTATACACACACATCAGTGTGACCTGTCAAGCATATTTTTCTTTTTTTCAAACTAAGAAAACAAAATTACATATGGCTATCTGTCACAGAGATCTAATGGTGGGCTCCCAGTCTGTAGCCAGTCACCTTGCTGACTCAGTGGAGATACCAAACGGGTTAAGATAGTTTGATTATTTATAACTTTGTGGTTCTACACGGATATTTCGCAAACATACAATTCGAAATTACATTAGGCTACTACTAACAGACTCTACTGCGTCATGTTGCGCACACGTCCTACCATGTCTTTGGATGGCGGGCCCAAAGAATTTTTAAAGGAAATATCTAAACAACAAAGATGTTATTCTTAAAATTTAATGACATTTAAGTAATCGTGCTTTGCTTTCGATAGTAATTTACGTTTTCATGATGGCATGGTATTTACAAGAGACCATCATATTCCGTTCGGACAGAAAATACCATAAGCCTGACATAGTTAATATTCTTATGTATGAATGGTTAAAAACACACAATTCACGTATAAGGAACACTGAAATGAACTATTTTCCTTATTATGAACATGTGTAGATGTGTATGGAATTGACTCTGCGTTGCGCTTGAAGGAAGAGAGAAATAAACAGAGATAACAAGTTGTAGAGAAAGTCTGGAGTTTCGCTGACTCATGTTAATATTAATGACGTAGATGTGCACACAAAAATAAACCTAATCACGCGTCAGAGCACTACTCCACATTACAAACATCAAATTCTGCCCTGTCATGTTTGCAGATAGATAAAGGACAGTTGTACCCTTGGCCACTGCAGGCCTACCTCACACTGTGACTTGAGAACGGCACCGATCACTACGTTAAGTGGGATACTCGCAAAGGTAACGCTGAACAGAGCGACACATTTCTCGGAAGTGAATTGATCGTATACTGAGACGCCAGATTCTCTGCGTGACTTAATGTTGTAGCTGTATTAATTGGTGGCATTACATTTCTCTAATTTAATGTTTATATATAACAAAAGTAAGACATCTTATTCTCATTCGGTATTATGTGTAATGTAGCACGTATGAAAACATCAGATATGGATGAAAATGCTATCTTAATACATGAAAGTAAGAAATCACTTGGAAAAATTATATTTTAAAAGACGATATTACAGGAAATTCTGGAAAAACGAATCTCCCTCTTTTATTTGATACGCACCTGACCACATAGAAAACGAAAAATTATTAGGAGACACACAGAGGCACACGGAGAGACAGGGAGCAAGGTGACGTCACAATCCTGAAAATTAGGGGCGATACACATAGAGTCTATGTTTATCAGTCTATGTCATAGACTGATAAACAGACTGGAAAGTGATACGGTTATTCTTCTTTAATTTTATCAAAATAAGGAAATTAGGTGTCAAATGTGTCATGATGAAAGCGTGTGTGAAGTTCTGAACTGGATACCTGTCAGGAGAAGATCGAGAGAGAAACGTTGCTGATATATATGTAAACAAAAAGTAAATAATATGTGGTCCAGTGTGCGATTTGTAGACAAAAATTAAAGTTTCCTTCTGTGGAAGGCCGGGAAATTCTTAGTCATCTTACGGATTGTTAGAGTCATGAAGAATGGTTCTACTCTATGGAGCTAGTGTCATCTATATATAATTTCTGTATAATTTACAATATCTCATACATAGAGGCATCCATTTCATAAACGAAACTATCCATGACGGTGCTGTTCAGCAGTAAATATGATGCACTACACAGATTTCTAGATGCATACACGTGTATGTGTACTATGTTCTTGGCTTACCTATTAACATACAGCATTTCACTGGAGCATGCGTAATATTTTCTTTTGTTACTGTTAAATATTCATCATATCAAAAATTATTAATGAAAGAAGTACGTTTTAAAGTAAGTGCATTTTTCTCACTTCCATTAGGTAAAATATGAGTTCCATACAGTTTAAGATATATAGCAGACCGGTATACCATGTTAGGTGGGTACCTTGTCACCACGGCATGGCGCGTCCTCAGGTTGCGGATAGAGGGGCGCCCTCCAGGTATGGATGAAAGGTGCGAATATATTGAATAAGCAGTCGCGGACAGCCGACAAGGGGTGGTCCTCCAGGTTGGGGATTGGGTGTGTGGCTTTTTCCTCACATTAAAAAATAACTTTGTTACGAATGATCAAAAGTAACCTCGGACCTGGACGGATCCTCTGGATAAACGACCTAAGCTAAGGAAAATGGACATAAGGTTCGGTACATGGAATATTAGAAGTATATATAGGGTAGGTTCGCTCAGGGCAGTAACGGAATAAATCTTCAAATATGTTAGATTTAGCGGTAGTACAGGTCAGATGGGACGGAAGTGGCTATTCTTAGACTTCAAAAATAGCCTATGATTCAGCTAAGAGGGAAGTACAGCAAAATGTTCTGATAGAGTCTGGGATACCTATGAGACTAGTTAAGCTAAAGAAATGTGTTTAAGAGAAACTTATGGTAAAGGTAAATATTTGACTGATAAATTTCCTATCCAGAATTGTCTAAGACAAGGAGATGTAGTAGATAACGTAATGAAGAACACACAAACTTTCATTGACGCAAGTAAGGAGTTTGGCCTAGAAGCAAACGCAGAAAAAAATAGTATATGTTGCTCTCGTCACAAAAATGCAGGGCACAATCACGACATAAATATCTGAAAATATGTCACAGTACAGATATTTGGGGACGACGATAACAAATCTAAACCTGATTTAGGAGGAAATTAACTCGGGTAATGCTTGCTACCAATGCTTGCTACCATTCAGTCCAGAACCTTTTGTCTTCTCGTTTGTTATCCAAAAACATAAAAATCAGAATATACAAAACTATAATTTTGCCTGTGGTTCTGTATGGGTGTGAAACTTTGTCTCTGACATTAAGGGAGGCACATAGCCTGAGGGTGTTTGAGAAGAGGGTGTTGAGGAAAATATTTGGACCGAAGAGAGAGATGAAGTCGCAGGAGGTTGGAGAAAACTGCATAATGAGGAGCTTCATAACTTGTACTCTTCTCCAAATATAATTAGAATGATCAAATTAAGGAGGATGAGAGGGGCAGGGAATGTAGCATGAATGGGGGGGACAGTGAATTCATATATGATATTGGTGGGAAAGCCAGAAGGAAAGGAACCACTGGTAAGATCAAGGCGTAGGTGGGTGGACAATAATAAAACGGATCTTAGAGAAATAGGATGTGATGGTATGGATTGGATTGATCTAGTTCAGGACAGGGACCAGTAGGGGACTCTTGTGAACTCGGAAATGAGACTTCGGGTTCCATAAAATGCTGAGAAATTCTTGAGTAGCTGCAGAATTGGCGGCTTCTCAAGATGGGCTCTGTTTCATTAGCAAGTAAGCAGACAGGTAAAAAAAGAAAGTAAGATGTCGCACATATTATTTTGGATTTGCAATAAAAATTCGACCGAAACCTGTTGAAAGGATAGCGAATGCACGGCACTGAAAGTGAAACGTGTACTGTGAAAGTGCCCTTGGTACTCTGGACGGACAGACGATAACACAAAAAAGAGACATGCGCTAACTGTTTTCATTTCCGGTAGAATGGTATCCCTCGCAGGTCCAGACATGCTTCTGAGTCGTCCGTCCTCATGCACTTGTAACAAGGGCAAATAAATATTGACTCCATTGAAAATACTGGGAACTGTGTTTCATTTATTAACTGCATAATTTGTAGTAAATTTCTTTTCATTTTATTTATTTTTTCAAGTAGTCTGCTCAGCTTCATATAATTAACCTGATTAGGTCAGTTTAACTCCTGACATCTTGAATCGAATATCTTCTTAAGCAAATTAATAGCATTTCGAACACTCATAATATTCCTCTGCCCAACAAAGAAAACTAAGTAAGATTTGAGGCTTTCACGGCGGTGACTATGAAGAAAGCAGTCTGCTTTCACCGGTTCTCACGGTCTCTTCGCTTGCAGATTTCTTATATTTTTTCTTCTACCCTGAAGATGGAGGCGATACGTTCCTCCGAAACGTCGGTTAACACCACATATACACGGTGCCAAATCCCAGAAAACTGCTTTCTTCAAATGAAACTAAGTTACAAAAGAGTCATTACTGGTTCCCCTTCTGTGCCTCATGTAAACTATATCTTTATGCTTCATTATTGTCCATTTACGTCTAGGTCTCGTCCCCTCAGTTCAAAGTTCTGTATCTGCTCATAATTTCTCCTGCAACGTTAATCATCCGCTTCTTGATCTGATAATACCAAAAATAGTTAAAATTTATTGAACTCCTCATAGTGCAATTTTCTTCCCTCTTCGGCCCACTTATTCCATTTAGCCTCCTGTCCTCTCCCGATTTTCGACATTTTCTCAAAAGAGGAACACAATTATAGAATTAGTAGGTAAGAGTTGCTTCGGTTATGTGGCACTTATACATTTTCTAGGTTACAGAGACTAGAATATTTCTTTACAAAGTCTATTAGCATCTCTATGCAGATAAAGAAATAATTAGAGGACAAATGTAAATCGAAAATTCCCTCCTCAGTTTCTTGTCACCATTCCTCATGTTCTCGATTAGCACAATTATCTGCAGATCCTATCAGACAAGTTCGTTTGCAGGTAGATACCAAGGGTTTTACAGTTTGGGGAAACAACTTATGGAAACACAGCTTGATGGAATAAGAGGCGATTCTGTTTAGTTTCAAGGTACCATTTTGAAACAGAATTTTGCACTGAAATAAATACTGACGTCATTGTAATGATGTCTGAAAAATAATCTCCACTGCTTTTTTTGCTGCCTTTGGGTACTTTTGCATTTGCTTGCCATCGAAATATCATACGGATGAGAATGAACCTGCTTTGACTAATCTTAATAAAAGGTCTGTCAAAAATCGTTATTCGGCTATTAGGCACTAATCAGATATTATTAGCAAGAGTTCTGTCTTCTGGGATGTAGCTCCGAGTGCTCTGTTGAAAGTCAATTGGGTGAACATCCTGGGACACGTACGATAACGTTTTATCTAAAAGTACATGGATATAAAAATAGTTATTATGTATTTAGCACGATTAGATTAGTACCCTGTTCCTAAATGTCTGCATGTAGCTAACTCCTACATATTCTTCACGCATCCAGTACTTCATGGACCCTGCTGTTTGTATCTAATTTTGCGGGTTTGTGTTCAACTTGTTTTTATTCGATCTGTGTGTTTCTGTCCAATGCCTCCCATACACAGAAGTCTAAGTTATAAAATGTTTATATTTTTAATTATTACTCATATTTGTGTGTAAAGAAATTGCTCTATAAAGTTATCTTTCATATGGTGGTGCGGTATTTTTATAGATCAACGACTGAAATGAAATCCGTGTTTTATGCTTCAATATTAATATTTTGTTCTCTTCTTTGCAAAATTTGCGGGATTTTCTAACCACGAAATTTCGACACACAACAGTTAGTGCTATTAGCCTTATAGCATTCATATTCTGGCCCGGAGACTTGCAATCTTTACTTAAGTATTTCACGTCTTTCTCGTTTTCCTTGTAAGTTACCTGGCAATGCCTAAAAATATACCACGGATACTTCTTTTCATTTCCTTCTCAGTTTTTATTTACGACCGACTTTCAGTTTGACTCGATATTACCTCAAGATTTAATGACCTTGCACTGAACCAACAGAACAATCTAAAGAATTATGAAAATGTGTATATTGTTTTTGTTCAGCTGCAATTCTTAATAACTCACATGTAAGTGGACTATATACCGTTTGCCTAAACTTTAAGAATCTATCACTTTGTCTTTAAGGTACAATCGCGTGTTTCTTATGGGTATCAAAATAAAGAGCTATTATTTCTGTAACCCCCCATGAACAGATGGGCATTTATAATAGAAAAGGATTGCACGCACCGATATTATATCTTTTTAAACAATTTCTTTTGCGAATGGTAACGTAGGCTTCTCCAGTTTAAGCCATTCCTGTACTGTCACTGTCGCCATGTTTAAGCTGTGAGGCTGACAGAGCGAGCCTTGGTAACGATGACACGTGACACGGGCGCAGTGCTCGTGTGTACACTCGTATCGTGCCGTCATCCTATCCATCGCCACAATCATAACGAGCAGACTGCTGCAGAGATTGAACCTCAACATGAATTCGGGAAATATCCAATTGCTGTCGCTGGCGGGATATCCACCTGTCCATACTGGAGGTTATTCCATGTTCTGTTTCATCAGCAGGACAGTAGCTCACAGGTAGGCCACTGTCGCCTCACATCGAATTTCTTTATAACTACGTACATGTAAACATAAAAATGTTTCATTTATTTTCTCACCCAAATTAAACAGGTGAATGGTAAAAGCTAAATAAGCTTATATATTTAGATCTCAAGAAGTCATCATCTGCGATGAAATACCGTATTTACGCATGTATAGGCCGCACATTTTTGCCAAATATTCAGGAGGAAAACTGGGGTGCGGCTTATATTCGAAATATTCGAAATCACACTTCATTTAAAAAAAAATGATATTCATAATTAGTAATACAGGGTGTTCTACTCCTGAAACAATATTCCAAGAAAATTATTTTTTCTATAAGTTCTGTCTGAAAATTGTGCTGCGGCCTATACACGCAGGCGGCCTATACATGCGTAAATACGGTAAATGAAACTACATTTACTAAATCTCACATTGTTTACAGATCATTCATTTTTCAGTAACAAATCAAAAATTTTTATTAAAAATTAAAATATATAAAATATACAATATCAGAGAGAGAGAGACCGGTAATTCACAGAAATGTAATTAACAACAAAGCGACTTTCAGTTTCCGGTTTATATGGTGATAACGTGTATCATCTCATTGTGAGGTCTACGATTCTCCGGGCAGTTAACATTGTCACGATGTGCTCGCCTGTGACGCGTCTTGTTCTGCAGATGTACGTGTTACTTCGTTTCAGAGGAACTGAGGCCTCCTCATTCAGGCCAGGAAACTCTTCAGCCTCCAGGCTGGGGCGGCTGTTCGAAACGTCGGTACGAATGTACCAAACTAAATAGCGTTACATCCAACAAAACGAAGTAATCTGCGGTTTGTATTGTGATGTTTTTCTATTGGAGTAAAGTAAAGGTCAGAGAAACCTGGAGTAGTGTTTGAAATACAGTCTACTTGATTAGGCTTAATCACTACTCACCCTAACAGAGCAGTTCGGACTGTATGGCAGTGTTTGGCAAGATTAAGCAAAGTGACCCTACACTACGAACATAAGGGCAGGACACACTTGCGTAATTAAAATTATTCCAATTTAATATTAATACTTCAAATGCCAGTTTTCATTTAATAAACTTTATAGTCTGAATGGTCACTTAATTAATTTTATCGCGCGATTTTTTAGGTATGGATAATTCTGCTTATCCGATGACTAAAATATTTCGAGACCTCTGATTGCACACAAACGGAAGTTGCCTTGAATACAGGTTCCGGGCGAAATTCGAATCCAGGGCTCGGTGTTCACTGATCGAACACCGTTCGCTCGCTAACGTGAATACCGCGATAAGTATTTTTTTTAATTTTCGTGATAAATTCGACTTTACGTAAAAATAAATATATGGATACTAATAGTGCTTTATCGTGGTGTATTTATAAGATCACATATACTGCGCTGTTTGTGTTCCATCCATCGAAATGGAATAAGTTCACGATAACTTGAAGCTATGGATTTAGGAGTTGGTTTTGGCACATTTGAAGGACCTGCGCACGGGTGTTCGACTGCACGGATTGATGCATATTCAGACAGAGACTCTATAATTCAGTAACAATAATTTCATATTGTTACTGACAAACCATGAACGGAATATGAAATACGGAATCTTCACACTGTATCATATAATCTAAACAACTTTTTATAGGCACAGGCTCTTTTCGATTTTCTTGTTAATATTTCGCGATTTACGTTATACATATCTATACTATCTATACTGTGTAAATATATATATATCAAAAAAGGAACCCGAGCGTATTTCTAATAACAACACTTTCCCCAGGAAACCCTTCCGAGATTGTTCCATCCAGTTCACAAATATTATGAAACTAAATTTCTTAACCTTTAAAGCCCAGTATATAAAGTATCTTCACCGCCTGCTTAACATCACTAAAATTAGCAATCTGTGAACAATGAATACTTACTTGCTTCATGTCAAAATAGAGATTATCTGCTTAAACAGCATTGAGATATTTCTATATGGGGTAGAAATGCTGTCGTTGTGTAGAGAGCATAGAACGTAAATTTGAGAATATTCAGAACTTCAAAAATCGAAGGGTTAGTATATTGTGACGTGTTAAGTATACGTCTCGCGACAAATAACTTCACGCAGTTCTGGATCTAGCGAATTTATTGAACACTCGTTTATACATTTACACAATTCACAACTTCACAAGTACTGCCATCTGCAGTATCACAAATACTTCTGTTGCTCTCGGCGACTGCTACACTTCAACTGCACTCGGCGACTTCACGATCCACACTGTGTCACTCCTGATCACACACTCTGGTCACATACTGCTCAGCTGGCATTTTTTGCCGTTCCCTGTTGCCTCGCGTTACCGGCGGTGTCCCCTTGTTACATCACAGTGGGAAGTGCTGTTACGTCACAGGGGGAAAGGGGACGGAGTGTTGACTGGCCTGTTACCGTAGCAGCGGCAGTTGCTCCGATGTTGTTACGTCACCGCCGCAATGGTTGCCTGACACAGTTGCTCTTCTGTTACGTTACCGCGGGGGAGGGAATGTTTACCGAGAGTTGGGTAATGATGGAAGGAGTGAGGGTATGTGACGTCATTCGCGAGACCGCAGAATTCACGCGACCCCTACTTCCTATTGCGCCATCCACGTCACAGTATTTTATCTACTTCATTCTCGGGTCTTAACAATCGCAATTCCTCCAAGATGTTCCATCCTAGTCCTTAGTAAGAGCCATGGGGCCCAACTGAGTAGATGTCTTCCTTTCTCACCTAAAGACGAAAACAGATCCAGTTTCCGAAAAGTCGAGTCCTCTATAACCTAAAATTCCGGACGATGCAAAAAGTCCAAACCCCCAATAATTCTGTGAGTAAATANTCGGTTAACACCACATATACACGGTGCCAAATCCCAGAAGACTGCTTTCTTCATAGTCACCGCCGTGAAAGCCTCAAATCTTACAATTATCACCTTGTCTTGACATATCGTCTAAGAGAAATATCTTTGTGACTAATGAGGATAGGTCTCTTATTTTTTAAAATAATCTGTGAGAAGCCAGATGGATAGAGTAGGCATGCAACTACCTAGTCTACAAATTTAATTTCTAGGCAAAGTGTGACATTGAAATACAGACCGATGACACTGCAATACAGTCTGAAACATCTTTCAGTGTTGCTTATGTTGTCAGCATGTAGTACTATCGTAATTCACTTAGATTAGTCTGCGCCTGTCTCCATAGAAACAATATGCCAACCAATGACGATCTTATTATGTTACGGAAAACTTTTTTCCCACTCTGCCGTTATTAGATAATTCTTAATGAGTTACATTTATTGTTACTTACGGACGGGACCAAAAGTCAGCAGTGACAGAAACTTATGATTCAGTCAGTTTATATACTTGGCCATAGACAGGATAAATATTAATTTCAAAGATTATATTCGTTGAAATCCTGTTTTAATACGTATATTAGAATGCGTCAGTGGATACATCGTCTGTGGAAGCTCCAGTTAGAGAAGAGACACGTTTGTATACGTTCAGGTACGCCAATTTTGTGCATTCTTGATCATTCTCTTCGTTGTGAGTGTGCTTATCATTAAACAGAAAGAACACTTAATTCCATGTGAAAAATGGTGCATAGAGCATTAATGTAGAAATAGTTAGTAATATTTCTAAAGAATTGACCGCGTACATTCTGCATCTGAGAGCCAAACGATCTACCACGGACTATTATAGTCAGTCGTGTATTATCAGAAAGAGAAGTATCTGGTTCTTTAGTTGACGGCTGCACTGTGGTTACCATATTATTCAGTTCATGGCAAGAACAATGTTGTCAGGTAATGTTGATAGCGACTGCTTTTAAGGAGTTCCCACTAATACTTTAACTGAAGTTATCTTGTCTTGTTAAACGTATTGGTATTTTTGTTAAGGCGTCGGCAGGAACTCAGAATATATAACGTTGAATGAGAGGGTTATTAGTGAATAATGGTTTGGAAATGAGGCAAATGGAGCCAGTCACATCCTAATTTCTATTAATAAACCTGTATTTGTACAGAGGGTCTAATGAAAATCGGAAATTACCTCAGTTAAGATAATGCTTGTTCTGAAAGATTCTTAAACTCAATAAATTACAAAGACCAGTGAAGATATCTCAAAGTAAATTCCAATTATTTAAGATAAATTTTCAGTGCCCACAAGAGATCATATTACCACCAGACGTCCCATCAACTTCAGAAAATGGCATATTAAATATAAAAGTAATTACTTATTATTAATTAGTATTAATCAGGATCACAATAAGTTAACAAACACATCTTCTCTATTAATACCTTGAAAGGATTAGTAGGCTAAATATGAGGAGAGTCATATTACACTTTCAAACGAGAAGAACATATGTTGCCTATACAGTCATAAAATTTATCTGACTCACCCAGTAACTACTGATTGTATTGCCATTTGGCCATGACAGAACAACTTAAAATTTTCCTTACACGTATTTCACTTTAATAATAAAAACCCTGTCACTGCTACCGTATTATTTTTTGAATGATACTACAAATGTCACTTTCAAATAATTCAATCTAAAATTAAGAGTTCTACTTACTTATCGGCTTGTCTAATCGTTTAGATTAATTTGTGTCATTATAATGCTGTAGGTCTGACAAGAAGTTTACATGGGGCTCCTACCTGAAACCACCCTTCTGACCGTGTGTGCTGCGGTAACCTGCCTCCTCACAATGGTCTATATCTACTTCAAGAAGTCCTTCAGTTATTGGAAGGAAAGAAAGGTACCTTACATCGAACCAACATTCCCCTTTGGAAATTTCAGAAACCTGATGTTTGTGAGAAAACCTCTAGGACATATGTTCGCAGATCTTTACAAGAAGCTAGACGGTGAGAAATATGGAGGGACTTACATTTTCACGAAACCTGGATTCATTTTCCGTGACCCAGAAATTATTAAGAATGTCCTGGTTAAAGACTTCAGTAGTTTCCATGATCGCGGTATCTTCGCCAATGAACAGCTTGAACCTCTTACTGGCCACTTGTTCTTTCTTACTGGAAACAGGTGGAGAAATCTTCGCGTTAAACTGACACCAACTTTCACTTCCGGCAAAATGAAGATGATGTTTCAAACTTTGGTTGATTGTGGGCAAGAACTCAGAACCATCCTACACGAAACCGCTAGTCAGGAGGAGATTATTGAAGTCAAAGATATCTTGGCTAGGTACACCACGGACATAATATCGTCATGTGCATTTGGCATCCAATGTCATTGTCTCGAGAATCCAGACGCTGAATTTCGTCAATGGGGAAGGAAAATATTCGAATCAACCATAAAGTTGTCACTAATTAGATCTCTGAGTGTACTATTTCCCTCTGTAATGAGCTTCTTGAAGTTCAGAGTTTTAGATCCCAAAGTTTCAAAATATTTCCGAAGTATGGTGCAAGACACAGTGAACTACAGGGAGAAGAACAACGTTAAACGCAACGACTTTATGCAACTGCTTATCCAGATCAAGAATCGTGGCAAAGTGGAGGAAGAACACGGTTACCTGGAGCAGAATGGCCATGGAGACTTGGAGAACAAGTCTGATGAGAATGGTACGTACCTCCTGTATACGTTCCGTGTAAATAAATACATTCATGCTTGTCCTGTATGGATGAGCTCGAACTGTGCATTGGCTTTCTCAACGAAAGCACTCCACACATCTCTGGGTAACGTATTCTGCATATAGTTACAAAGTTCCCTTCTACAACAACCACCGAAACACAGCCATATATATATATATACACACATATGGCCCGAATTTTGATCATCTTTCTTTCCTCGTATCCTATTCGATGCCCGTAAATATATAAATCTCGGAAATGAGCTGCTAGTTACAGAAATGTAAATTTTATAGGTCATTTTGTCATTTTTAAAATCTTAGGTCTTTTTTTTTCGGTTTTGGGGGAATATTTCGGTAAATTTTAAGGGGATTCTTTTGTTATTTTAGACGTTTAGGGTATTTTTGTTTTGTTTTCAGAAATGTGAATAATATATATGCAAGTAAAATATTCTCACTTTCTCCTGCCTCTACAAATGCAGACTGCAGCTGCATTCCAAATACCAGCTATCACATTATGCAATAATAAGTTGTAATATTGTTCCGTCCTTTCTGTTCGTTTTGACGAAATATCTGACATTCACCATCATCAGTAATCTGTCAGACGACAGGTCCACAGTCTCTTCCAAAACAATTCCTCCACTTAATGCGATCTAGAGCTTTCTCCTTCAAATGACAGTATCCTCTTCTGTCCTCAAGGTCATCCAGCATCTTCTTACGTCTTCTTCCTCATCTTCATCTATCCGCCCCTCTATCTTTCCTTCAATAACTTCTTTTAGAAGGCAGTTTCTCCTTAAAACATGACCAATCCAATTACATATCATAAAATAGTTTAAGCTGGCAGCAGGGCACGACAGCGGTCACTAACACTGCGGCCCTTTCCAAGTTCTATGCAAAGGAATTTGCTTAGTTATAAATATTTCTAGCCGGAAGCCTCGCTTTTTATGACATACTGTTGCTCAATAAAACTCCGTCTGTCTTTATTTTCTCGCCCTTGACCGTACAGACAAAGATACAGTGACGAAAGCTTCTCAGTGTGAAAAGTTGAGTTCTGTGTTGCACTAGAGTTATCCATTTTATCATGATACCTAAAGCAAAGTCATCTAAACCGTGTCATTTAAAACAGATTGTAGCTGAATTCGGAGATGATATATTTTCAACTGACCGTAACATTTTATACTGTAAGATGTGTGACACAAAATTAGAAGCAGAAATACGTTCCACGGTACAACAATATATCACCCGCAGCAAGCATATACGAGCAGTGCAAATTTCGAACAAAAAGTAATCTGTGTAAATATTACTGCAACAGTGTTCATCTGAAGGCAGAAGTAAATCATCGGATTCTTTCAAAGATCTGCGTGATGCTCTGGTGTCTGCAAATATTCCCAGTTTTGGGCTCTGAAAAATGAAAAACTGAAACATTTTCTGGAAGTGAATTGTGGTCTTTCTATCCCGGATAAATCCACCTTCAGGAAAAATTACCTTTCCAAATGCTAGAACAATATCCTGATTAGGAATAAAGTGCACGGGAAGATTATCGTTTCCATTGATGAGACCTGACTGTGAAACTGAGGCTCGCCATGTGGGAAACGTCAACAGCAAACCTTGGAGATTGATGAACCAGGTGAAATGTTTCTGCTTACGAGTGAGGTGTTAGAATCTTTAATCATTCCATAATTTGTAAACTCTTTGACAGGTCGATGTTCCTAATGTGGCCAGAGAGTATACGACACGACGTCGGCTTGCTTTTTGTGACCGATGCGGCCACATATATTTTAAAAGAAAGTAGGTCAATAAAGTCTTTATATATGAAATTGGTGCACGTTACTTGCCTAGCACATGCACTGCATAGAGTGGAGGAGAAATTGAGATCAACATTCACTCAAGTGTATGCTCTCGTGTCGTGGACAAAGAAGATTTGCGTCAAGGCTCCAGCTCGTAAAATACAATTTAAATCTATGACTCCTGGTGTTTCACTGGCCCTGGAACCCGTCATCACAAAGTGGGGAACGTGAATTTATGCTACAATTAACTATTGCTGTCATTTTTAAGCAATGAAAAAAATGTATATTCAATGAAGACAGAAGTTGCGAGGGCAATTGAAGCTGCTCAGGAACAGTTCTCGTGCAGCGAAATGGAGGAGAGTTGGCCTTGATAAAGGCAAATTTCAATTCCTTCACGGAAGGAATCAAATGCTTAAAGGAGAAAGGAGCAACACTAGAAGATTCACTCACTCTCTTGAAAAGAATGACCAGTGATTTAGAGAAATTATCAAGGGACATTGGTAAAATGGTGTCAAGAAAAATGAGACATGTTCTGGAAAAATATTTAGGTTATGAATCATTATGCAGCATTTGAATTCTGACAGAAGAGACCTTCAGCATTTTCAGTATTGAAGAGAACTTACTGCTAGTGGTTTGGTGCAATTCAAGTGCGCTCCCTTTGTGTCTGCAGATGTGGGAAGGAGTTTCTCCAAGTACAAGAATGTGCTGTCGGACAATAGGCGTTCAGTCACCTTCGAGAATCTCCTCATGTTAACTGTCATCTATTGCAACTGTGAATGAGGCGACACTTAAATACTGGAATATATACCGTATATGTTCGTTTATTAAGTTTTCCAACGCGGTAGAAAAAAATTGTATTAAATCCTTTACCTTCAAATTCAATAATAAATTGATTATTTTTCAAACATAAAAACGAGGACGATCTTAAAAGTGTAACGTTGATTTCACAGCCTAATAAAGATTAAAAATATATTTTAGAACAATCTGTAGATTTTCGATGACATGATACAAATTAGGTTGTTTTTTTTAATATTGGGTTATTTCTTCTGGATTTCTTCGGTCACTTTACTGGAGGTTTTTTGGTCATTTTTAATATATTTTCAGGTCATCAAAAACCTGGACCTGCAAATACGTATGTATATTCTCGCTTCCTCTCAGTCCTCATGTATTTAATGGACAATTTCTTAACACCTCCCAGCTTAAGTTCACGCGAAACCATCGTGCAAAAATGTATAGAAATTACTAATACGGGAAAAATTCTGTGCGAAGCGCATTTAATATTTCTATTCTACTTATGTTATAAGTCATAATACCCATTTAAAAAGCCATAAAAAATTGGCTTCAATCAGTAAATGGTAGTGATGGTTTCATTCTGCAATAAGGTACCTACATATTCCGGAACTCAATTTTCCGTTACAGCTGCATCTTACGTCTTTTATTGTTGAACCTATTGAAGAATTGTAGAATATAAGACATGTGTACTCTTGCCACAACCTTCGTTTAGCTCTCATCATGAAAATTTTACTAAAGGGGTTAAATCTTAAACTGAGAATGGTAAATTATTATTTTCAGGAGTTTAACGTTTAGAACTGGATATTCCTCCCAGTGTTAATTTAATCTATTATTAGAATAAATAACGATATATTTCCTGCACAGCATAAACCCTGTTACTTGCATTACAAATATGTGGACTATATCTGTGACGAATTGCTCGAACATTCGTATATATTTTAGTAATTTTCCCTTTATTAGCTCGCTTAATCTGAAATATGCCTTATGATATTGCTTGCCTTATAATATGTGAAACTAGGATCACGCATTTAGCCCTTCTTATTACAGGTTTGTCGATGAACTCACTGGCGGCCCAGGCCTTCGTTTTCTTTGCTGCGGGTTTCGAGACTTCGTCAACCACAATGACGTTTTGTCTGTACGAGCTGTCATTGCACCAGGATATACAGGAACGCCTCCGGGAAGAGATCGATATTGTGCTGAAGAAACATGAAGGCAAGATTACGTATGAGGCCATCCAAGAAATGGAATACTTGGATAAAGTTGTCGCAGGTAAGGCTTGACCGTGGAAGAAAGTTTAAATAATACAAAATGGATGTAATTCATCATTATCGCCACAAATCCCCAGCTCTGTAGCCGCCTCCACATGCATACGAGTATTTTCGGGTCCTAAGAGTAACGTGTTTATGTAGCAAGAAAGCAAATAAGGGAATTTAAAACTTCCTTTTTCTCACCTTCTTTCACGAGGTCATCCAAATGGCTACCAAGTTTTGAGACAGAAAGCTCAGCCCTATTGAAGCAGAGATTCGCAAGCCCTCCTAATTTCGTATGTATTACTTCACTTCATAATTCTTGAATTCTGCTTCACAGTTTCTCTGTAGTATCGACTGTTGTTTCATAACCCTTGCATTTCTAGTGCTTCCATATGTAATCCGGTGCAAGGCATTGCACATACTCGTACTCTCTTGTATACGCGTGGCCTCGACTAAGTTATCAAGGACACGGAACCGCTTGCCGCTCTGTAGGCAGATACTGGTACTGAATATCGAAACACAATAGGACCAGCCTAGCAGGTTCTCACATGACCGATATTTCAGGTTTGTGTCTTTCGTGTTCTTACCGAAATTAACTGACGACTAAATATTTCTAGTTTTATTAGCGGAGACGATCTCCTACACAATATTAAAACTAAATTAAAGTCGTTAAAATCGTTTTAGAAAAGTCGGATTTCATTCTTTTGCTGTCCGTTTGCAGAGCTCTTGCCTTAGAAAATATACTCATCTTCGACTGAGATTATCCAGACGAAATCTTGAATAAGGAATGCGAAGAATTTTTCTCCAATATTTGAGGCGTTATCAAGGGGGAATATATGAATACACACATCTTGAAATAGTGTATAAAAAGGCACTTATCCGTAATGTGGGAGGGAGTACTCAAGAGAAGTAAATCTCTCAAAGCCTCGAGAATTTTTACCATAACAATATTCTCTCACATTCATTGTATATATAATAAATTAAGATTCGAGAGGACTGCAGTCCAGGAAACTGGAGCTTCGCAGGAACATATTACGACACGCGATGGGATACTAGAAGTTCACATTCTTTTCATAATGGAAGGAATAATCCTCTGAGTAGCTAAAAGGCAGTCTACCATCAGTATCAAAGAGAACAGCCCGAAGCTTCGTTACCTTCAATATATTAGCGGAAGACATTTTAAAATTTACGGAAAGTAAAAACTGGTGGCAAAAACTCAAATCATGGAAAACACGTCACCAACCGCGGCGGATAAACAAGGAATAAATGAATATCAGAAAACAAAATGTCCGAGTACAACATCAAATGACTCCTTTCACACCAAAAGAATACGCCACATTTCAAGTCATTTCTAAAAAAAAAAACTACCGCACTGAAATTTACCTCTTAAAATCCATTCTCAGTTCAGATCGAAAACGACATTCTCTCTACCACAAATTCAGAAATCTCAACTACACGGCAAGACGAGAAGAAATTCCCCCAGTTGCCATTATATCACAAATTTAACTACTTCAGTGTTACGTAAGATCTTAAACAAGCAGTCACCATAGTTATATCAGCAATTTAGCGACCTCTGTAGTTTAGAGGCAACGTTCCCACATCATGACTCGTAGTACGCGGGTTCAAATACCCGGCGGAGGTCGTCGAATTTTCAAGGGCGGAGAAATTCAGGGAACAAGTCCTCTGGGAGGGACTTTAAGCCATGGGTCCCGTGTCGTAGCTTTACGGCACATAAAAGAACCTCATATCTCCAAAGGAGGTCACTGAGCCAAATTAACGGACGTTTCCCGCCCAACAGCAGTCTCTAATACCTCTGGTAGATGGGGTAAGCATTATAGATACCTCTCAGCTAGTAGAGCCGGTCTCGCTGGCTGGTCGGGACTGATGGTAAGCACCAGTACCGGTAGGATATAGAGACTGGTAGAAATCATAGAGGGAAGCACAATGGACCAATACAGATCTCAGTGCACGGAGAAACCCAACCTCTCCAATAACTAACTAACTAACTAACTAACTAACTATATCAGCAACTTACATACATCAAGCCATTCGATTCCACTTCTCATTGGAACAGCGTTATGGACTCATATACTCCAAATTCAAAAACATACAATACTATACCAATCAAACAGCAGAGAATAAGACTGACAAGATCCTCCTCAGAGGACTACTCCTGCGGTGACAGCAGAAATGGTACTCAGGAAAGTAAGACACTTGGAATGAACTGCGACTCATGTAAGACAGCACAGAAGAACAATGTACAATGAAAATCTGCAACAGAGGAACTTGTTATTCCTACCTCTGTGTGTCATTATTTACACAGTGGAACAAAGCTCAAGTAATATAAGGGACTTTATACGAGTCATCCACATAACTGAGTGGCCCATTTCAGTGAGACAGATTTCAAAACTTCGGTCATAAGGCAAAATTATTATAACATTGTCCCTAAATGTGTCAAATGCTGAGGAAACCAATTCTCCAGTGAATGCCGAAAAAGCAAATAATACTTCCCCCTAAAAATGTGCAAACTGACACTAACAACAGCCGAGCAAATTCACAGGATGTGAAAGAGAGAGCAAAGATGTACAGAAATCGCAATACCTTCTAAAAACATTAAAATTTAAACAAACAAAATGCCCGTTGCCTCATACAAAGAAACTCCCCCATCTCCCAGAGCCTCCCTCATACTTTAACTAGTACAACACAAGGAAACTGAGTCAGGCTACCTTATACTTTAGGAAAATCGATCATCTTGCCCCACAAAAAATTAAAGAAACGGCCGAAACTTTCTTTCTGAGTTCATTAGAAATAAATTTCAACTTCCAGGGTCGCAACGTCAGATTTCTCCATAAAGTAACAAATTTAGAGCAATCATTACGACGAGCCAAAACTATTGTCGACAAAATTGTCATAATTTTTTTAATTTACAACTCTCTGCACTTTAAAAGATATCACACAGGGAGATGCAAATATACTATGCTTATCAGTACCGCCAGTGCATATTGAACAGGACAGAACTACCATAAACGACGAACATCCGTCAAACCACCCTGTACACACCGATAAATATTATGTTCTGGATTGCAAATGGAGTGCTCAACGATCAACATCTCTTGTCCGAAATCCTTGCAGAGCATAACATTCACACAGCACACATAAACCAAAATCATTTGCAACCTAACAGTTAATTAATTATACCGGGCTATACAAATATCGAACAGAAGGACATAGACATAAGCTCGAGAATCATGGCTGTAAAAAGGTAAAGCTATATCTGTAACAGGCCGTGAAGGCCTATAGGATTGTGAGACGTCGAGGCTGTCAAATTTTCTCTAGACAATCGGCTCACAGATGGTGGTAAGGTTGTCAGCCTTACGAACTGGCCAACCCTCCCCACTGAAACAATGTAGTCATCTAATACTTACCATTAAAGAGCAACTCCTCATGCTTGAAGAAAAGGGTAAAATCGTTCACTTCTACTGGATACCTGCCCACATTGGAATCACCCACAATGAACGGGCCGACATGGCGGCAAAAGAGAGTGTTTACAAAGGCATAGACTCCCAACTATTATTACCCTGGACCGACCTTAGAGCCTGTTGGAAACAGAAAATGTTAAAGGATTTTTACGCATGGGGCTACTCATCGGGAGCACACAAAGGAAAATATTACTTCGATAATTACTTCGCTGATGTACCTTACCCCTGGTTCAACAAGATTAAGCTCCACCGGAAGCCCATCGTCACGCTCAACAGACTTCGAGCCGGGCACTACTGCCTGAAAACCCACCTCCATAGACTCAACATTGTTCCCCATGCGATTTGCGACTGCGGAGAAAATATCGAATCTCCCAACCACATCTTATGGCAATGCAAACGATTTGATGCGGCACGAGAAGACATGCTCAGGAACCTGATTAAGCGCAATGAATACCCCCCGTACAAGATCGAACCCCTCCTCAGGGACATGGACCCTGGGATTATTGCATCGATTGCTCACTACCTAACCCGCATCGACATC